AACAAAGTTTCGTCTCGTGATGGGTGTCGAATTCAACAAATAATAATACTTGCTTTTAGAAATATAAAATTGTAGTAGTGATAAGCAAGGATGAATCCACATGGATTGGGTAGATTGATTTTAAAGAAAATTAAAGCAAAAAAAGGGTTTTAAAATTTAGAGAAAAATCAAAAGGAAAAGCAATTATAATCAACCAAAAAATTAGAGAAATTAATATTAAGCAAATATCTAACTAAAGGTATAATTTCATAATTGGTTCAGAGAATCGATCATAGATGCAATGATAAAATCTTCTACTTTTCACTAAATTGGTTATGGTTATTGACAAGCTCTAACAACCCGTCTCTACTTAGTTTCTTGATAATCAAGAGAAACTCTTTGATTATTTCCCTTATTAATGAACAACCCTGGACAAGCGCTTAAGATTTAATCCACCAACAACATTAACCACTAGTGAGACCACCAATTCTAGCCAACAAATACACAAGCTCGATTCATTTAGACTAGATTATATACCTTCATAACATAATAAAAAATCAATAATGTTACTTTACCACCAATATTATAACGTTTAAACAATTACAAATTTAAAGTTCTAAATGACAATTTATCAACCTGATAATTGAACAACGGGCCCTTTGCAACAATCAATCAAGACAATAATTCTTAATAAAAATAGAAGATATATAAATAGCGAAGAAGTAAAAGAACAATGAAAATTATTTAGATCTCACAATCCTTGAAGAACCAAAACTTCAATTATCCTTCAGTTGGAACAAAAGTATTTAGCTACTCATAATTGAAAGAACACCAAAATAAAATAAAGATGAAGTCTGTAAATAATCATAAAGAAAAGATTTTACTTAAAGAAAACTTAAAAACTATGAAAACCCTAGCTCCCCTTTTATAAGGATTGTCCTATTCTAGATAAGGAAGTTTATTAAAAGTGAATCATACCAAAATAGGGATTTTTGAATGCCCTCATCCTTCTCTAAAGATAAGAATGATTCAATAGAGTCTTTCAGCCGTCATTAAACTCCTTTTCCGTTGTAAATTTGTAACCCTAATTTAGGGTTATAAGAACTGGTAAGGCGTGCACATACCTTAACTGTAGACTTCTTCTGCGATAGCTTAGGATGAATAAGCAATGCCCAAGCCTTAAGCGAAAACCTCTTCTAGTCTTGTCAACTTCTTGAATTCTGATTTTTCCTCCTTAATTTGGGGATTTTGTGAAGATCATGTTATTCATTGGATTTTGAACTTGTTTAATCCAAATCTTCAACATAATCCACAAAATACGAAAAATAATCAAAATTTATGATTTAAGCAATTTTAGGTATTCAAATATGAGGAAACTATCATAGAATACATGGTTAATATGCAACAACAACAACAACAAAACCCTATTCCCATATGCAATGGGGTAAGGGGGAGGTAGAGTAGTAGGCTGCCCCCAACGCATGGTTAAGAGCAGCTTCCGTGGAAGACCTCCGGCAGTCAGAAAATTAAAAATAAAGATAAAATGCAATGCATGTATAAATAAATAAGTAAATAAATATTTGAACAGTCTTCATATACAATATTCATATGCGCATCATATAATGGGAAGTAATCCTTGCTAATAAATCCCTGCATAATAATCTCAGCATATTGACAGAAACCTAAGACCCGACTAAAATTAAAGAGAGGAAACATGAAGAGAATGATACACAGAAGTTGAACGATAGAAAGCTACGAGAATTAATAAAGTTAAATGGGTTAAAACCTAAACTAAGGCAACATTAATCCGCTACCTAGTTCTAAGCCTTCATTAATTCCAATGACAGAAACGTATAAAAAGTAGAAGTCATGAGAATTACTATAAAGACATTAAAAGAAGATAGAAATGCTACACCCTATGGATGTGACCCGCACTAATCGACTACCCTGGTCTTAAGTCTCCATAATTTCCTATCAGAGGTCATGTCCTCGGTAAGGGCTAAATCCTTCAAATCAGATCTTAAGCAGTCTTCCCACTTCCGCCTTGGTCGTCCTCTCCTTCTGGCACCGTCGATTGTAATCGACTCTACCCTCCTGACCGCATCCGACGGGTGTCGCCTAAGGACATGCCCAAACCACCATAGTCTTCCCTCTCTCAATTTTTTGGATACAGGCACCACCCCCAAGGACATCCTAATAGCAGAGTTTGGTGTCATCTTATCAAATTCCCCGAAATTAAACCAATGCTTGTCCTCAAGCATACAATAGTTCAAATCATAACTCTTCTCAACATCAATCATTCTTCTTCCTTTACTCATCCTTCCACAATCAAAATTGGCATGCCTTAAAGACTCAAATCTAGACATGAGTAAGGAACGAGAAATTCTTAGACGAAATTCTCAGAAACCAACACACATGAATAATCACTCTATCAATCTTTTTGAAATAAAAATGCATTGGGATCTAATACCCTCACATTGGATTCACTCAATACGCTCGAAGTGTTTAGGGTGTCAATAAACTCTCAAGCCAAAACATAGAAAGATTTTTACCATAAGCTTGCTAACCTATCACATCCCCACCACTAATCAATGAATTGAATGCATAAAAACCTCAGGGTCTTAAACAGGGTGTAATGGGGCTTAGGTGAGGTTTGATAGGAAATGAATTTGAGTTGTTTTATTGAATGAGTCATACAAACTTATCCATATGGAACTCAATCGCAAATGTTCTCTTCAAGCCACATAACTTTTTTTATTACACAATCTCTCTTTCTTCCCTTCCTTTGCATGATTTTTTCTTCCTTTTTTTCGAATGAAAGATATTGCAAGTCAAATCACTATATTCCAACATCTTCCGATCTTCTCAAGATAATTTGAAATTTCCATGTGAAGAAACTCATACAATCCTCCAATTCAAGGTTCAAAAGAGGGAAATTAACAAAAATGGATTTAATATTTGCTTGTACCATGGTTAATTTCGAACAAAAAAGCTCAAGCTCAAAATTGGCTTTCTAAGGATGAGAATTAGGGTAGGCTTTTTACGAAAGCTAAAATGATTCCACCTAAATGCCCTTATCGTTCTTGATGCATCAAATTCTAAAATATGGTATTCGACATGTATAATAAAGCAAGTTCTAGAAAAATCAACTATGTATGGTAATCACTCAATCAAAAAATGGGGCATGCTATAAAATGAGTGCTTATTGGCCCAAAAACTCGTATAAAGGGTAAACGTGTATCAAATCCCATACATTTTTCATTCAAACAGTCATCAAGAGTAATAAACCAGTGTGTAGTAAATAAGAATTCAACTACTCAAGCTAATCCCCTATTATGCTTCAACTTAATTCGATAATTCACAACAATCCAAATCATGTAAGGACAAACATCGAAAGAAAATGGAATTTTGAAGAGAAAAATCACAAACAATAACTAAAGCATACTTGCTTTTTTTTTCAAAAATCGAAGCAAAATTATGTTCAAAGCAAAACCATAATTGAAATACTCTCCCCCACACTTAATTCATACATTGCCCTCAATGTATCAAAAGTAGATACTTAAAAACCATAAAAGAATAAGAGTAGAAAACTCCCCTGAAAATGTTGAGCATCAACCACAATATCTGTAACGAGCTAGGGGTGAAGGTGTTGTGCGTCGGCTAGGTTGGTTCTCGGACTGAGTGGAGACGTGGGTCGGGTAGAGCGGTGATAACAGCTGGTGGCGCGCATTCTTCTGAAGGAGCAGAGAAAATAGAGAAAAGATAAGGCACATTTATATTTTAAAAAGTTTCTTTGAATCTTGCTTCCTAAACCAAAAGTGGAGTTGAGTTTAGACGTGGGCACGTCTTATACAAAAACATCTTCTAGATAGTGAGAGACTTTAGGGTTAATTCTACTTTTGTAAGGCGTGCCCATGGGTTACGAAAAAATCATCTTCTGATCTAGAGAAGGAAACAAGATTAATTGTACTCTGAAAAATTAAGAATAAACATAAAAAGAAAGAAAAGAAAATTGAAAAGAAAAAATTGGGTTGCCTCCCAAGAGCGTCTTTCTTTAACGTCTTTGGCTAGACGTCATAGCTTCTCAATCATCCTAATATGGGTACTACAAAATGATTTGACCAATAGTATGCACCTGAGAACCTTCATAAAAATGTTTCAAACAATGATCATTGACCTTAAATATTTAAACTGTATCTAAACTTTGAATTTCAACAATAGAGAAAATTGTCCTCCACCCAATAGCTTCCTTGTACTCTCTAAGCATTCGAATCAACTTTTATTCTTCTAAGTGAGAGAGTTTGTTGGAAATGATCACCGGGAGAGTTTCCTCTTCTCCTAAATATGCATACTTCAGATGATTTGGCAAAGGTTTCATTTCTAATTTTGGTGTCTGTATAAGAGAAGGAATAAGTTTGGTATGAGAAAGAGGCAACTCAATATAAGATACATCATACTTCATGGGTTTAAGTGATTCTAGTTCTTGGATTGCATCTTGTAAATCAAGATCCAACGCAAACTTTTTCATGATTCCCTGCAATCCTTCAGAAGTGAAATTCATGTTGAGTGCAATTTTCAACTTGTCATCATCATTTAAATCAAAAGTTTCATACGCTAGAGAGTCAATAACATCCATGGCAAAAATAGAGGATACATCACTAGGATATTTCATGGCATCATAAATATTAAATTTAATAATTTCACCATCAAATTCCATGGTAAGTGTACCATCATTTACATCAATTTTTGTCCTAGCTATTTTAAAAAATGGCATTCCTAACAAAATTGATGTGGATTTAAAAGAATCGTCTTATTGCATATTTAGCACATAAAAATCTGTGGGAAAAACCAATTCATTAAATTGCACCAAATCATCCTCTAAAACTCCCTCAGTATATACATTAGATCTATCTGCAAGTTGAATAATCACTCATGTTTCTTTCAAAGGTCCAACATTCAAATATGAGTAAATAGAAAAAGGCATGACATTTATTGAGGCTCATAGATCTAACATTGCTCTCTCAATCCTGACATTACCAAGTTTACAAGGGATAGTAAACATACCTTGGTCATTGTACTTAGGGGGTAGCTTTTTCTAGAGGATAGTTGAAAGATTCTCCCTCATACTTACCTTTTCATTACCCTTGAGCTTTCTGTTGTTGGTGCACAATTCTTTAACAAATTTAGTATATCGAGGTACTTGTTTAATTGCATCAAGTAAAGGAATATTTACCTCGATCTTGCGAAATGTCTCAAGAATCTCTTTCTCTTCTGCTTGTTTCTTGAAATTAGTGAATCTAGCGGGAAAAGGAGGATTTATGACTAATGCCTTCGGTTGTTCGCTTTCTAGTGCTTTGTGTTGGTCTTTTTTAGTCTGGGGAGCAACAACTTCCTTTTCAGTTTCTTCCTCTAAGGCTCTCCCATGTGCCAATGGACTAGGTTCCTTCAACTTCTTCTCGCTTCTCAATGCGATTGTATTAGCATTTTGCTTTGGATTAACAATGGTTTGTGAATATGGCTTACCTTGGGATTCTAACTGGCTCACGGAAGATGCCAATTGACTAATTTGGTTATCCAAATTTTGTATGATTGTTCTTGTCTCTTGCTGAAATTGTTGTGTATTAGTTGCAAGTGATTTGACAATTTCTTCTAGAGACATACATGGCTTTGAAGAAGACTGTTCAGGTGGAAAAAGATGGAATTGCGATGGTCTTGGTCCATAGCTAAGGTTAGGATGATCCCTCCATCCTAGATTATAGATATTTAAGTAAGGATCATACTTCCTTTGTGGTGGGTCTGTAAACCTTCCATCTGCATTGGTGTACTCATGAGAATCATCTTGAAGTGTAGGGCACATGTCAGTTGGGTAACCAATCACAACACATATCCCACAAGCTTTCACTTGCTGCGTGTTTCCTATAACTATTTGTTGAACAAGGGAGGTGAGATGCGATAATTAACGTTCAATGGAAGACGAACCTACCTTATTCACCCTTATTGAAGATGTGTCTTGCCTAAAGTCAAATTGTTGTGAATTGGCGGCCATGTTGGAGGTCAATTCCCTAGCATCGCGAGGAGTCTTATTCACTATGGCACCTCCACTAGCTGCATCTATCATCTTCCTCTCCATGGGTAGTAGTCCTTCATAGAAATATTGGATGAGAAGTTGCTCAGAAATCCCATGTTGAGGGCAGCTTGCACACAGTCGTTTGAATCTTTCCCAATACTCATGAAGGGTCTCAGTATCTTTTTGTTTTATTCCACATATCTCCCTTCGAATGCTAGCGACTCTTGAAGCAGGGAAAATTTATCAAGAAAAAACCTCACCATCTTGGCCCAAGTAGTCATAGAACCAGAGGGTAAATAGAAGAGTCAATCTTTAGCTCTATCAGTTAGTGAGAATGGAAAAGCACGCAGTTTGATCTACTCTTCAGTCACTCCTTGCGGTCTCATACTTGAACATATCGCGTGGAATTCCTTCAAATGCTTGTGAGGGTCTTTATTCTCAAGTCCATGAAAAGTAAGCAACAAATGAATCAAACCATATTTTAATTCAAAAGCTACCTCCAAAGTTGGGTAGTCAATGTCAAGAGGTTGTTGATTCATATTTGGTGCAGCCAATTCTCTTAGAGTTCTTTCTTCGTTGGCCATTGTTCCTTCTATTTCAGAATCGCTGGATGAATCAACCAAGTTGAGTGCAGATTTCGATTCAGGGGATGAAGAAAAAGAATCTTGTCTGCTGCGCAAGTTAGTTTCTTTTCTTAACTTGCGAGCGGTTTTCTCGATCTCAGGATCGTATTGGAGTTCACCTGCACGAGAATAATGGGGCATCAAAATATGTCTAAATGACACCAATCCCTAGTAACAGCGCCCAAAATTTTATGGGTATCGAATCCAACAAATAATAATACTTGCTTTTAGAAATAGAAATTTGTAGTAGTGATAAGCAAGGTCGAATCCACAGGGATTGGGTAAATTGATTTTAATGAAAATTAAAGCAAAGAAAAGAAAAAGGGTTTTAAAATTTAGAGAAAAATCAAAAGGAAAAGCAATTACAATCAACAAAAATTTTAGAGAAATTAATATTGTAGGCACTAATTTTTTTTATATATTTTAATAATATTATTATTATTTTAATTATATTATTATTATTATTATTACAGGCCCAAAATAAATAAAAACCCAACCAAATTACAACCGGAGCCCAAATTTGATCCAGGCCCAGATCCGAGTTGACTTGATACCCGACCCGGTCCAGACAACCCAGTAGAACCCTCATAGGGTTTTATCATCTTCTCTGGCCGCCAACAACCATCAACCGTTGGATCTGGTGAGATCCAACGGTCCAAAGGCTTCCAATAGAAACCTTAGGGTTTCATTACACCCTAGGGTCTACACCGACCGCCGCTTCTGACACCCCACTCTAGCTGTTGCCACACCTCCTCTACTTCAACAGAAACCTCCAGAAGGCTCAAGGAAGCCGCACACGTTGAAACCCTAGGATGAGTCACCACCGTAGTTTTGATGACTCACCGAAGACCGCCCTATTATCCGGTCTGAAGGGAGCTTCGTGGTGGCTATAAAAACCACCAAATATGTTAACAGAAGGAAACACGAGAGCAAGCAACACGAACAAAAAAAATACGAAAAACGGGAGGATATCCAACCCACATCAGCCAAACAACAAACCAAAAGAGGAGAGAAACTTACCGAGGAAACCACACAGTCATCAGAGCCTCCACGCGCCGTCGGAAAACCGAAACATCAAAGGTAAAAAACTTTAGATCTAAGTTGATCTAAGGGGTTTTAGGAGAAACGGAGGTCGGATTCGACCTTAGGGCGTTGGGATCTTTAATTTGAAAAATTTTGGGAAATTTCTACCACCGCTCACTGTGGTCGGCGGTGGCTGTCAAAGGCGGCGTACGGTTACCGACCGGTGACCGGATTCCCTTTGGCGAGGGAATACTAGAGAGAATGGAGAGCTTCTAGCAAAAGAGGAAAATGAGAAAAAATGGCCTAAAGGCCGGTTTTTAAGGGTATTTATACCCTCCCTAAAATGACGCAGTTTAAGGAAGGGACCCTTGCGTAATTTCGCACATGGGTAAATTATACCCGCAGTCCTTGTAGATTATAAATTTTACAATTTAATCTCAAATCATATTTTTGTTTATTTTAATTTGGTATCTGTATTTTATTTTATTATATTTTAGTCCCTGTCATGTTTACATATATTAACATGTATAATTAATTATGGTTAAATTACACTATTAATCCCTATATCTCCTAATATTTTGAATTATATTCATCAACTTTGACATTTTACGATTTAATCTTGATGTTTTAAATAATTTTTATTTTCAACCATAAATTTTATTACTTTTTAATTTAATCATATAATTTTATATTTTTAGGTATAAATTGACCTATTTCATAATTTGAGTTAAAGGATAATATTTATTTATTTTTTAATATTAAGAAAGAGGATGTCTTAAAGTAACTAGATGTCATTTTCTAATATTTTTAAATAAATATCCTACTTATAAAAACCTAAAAAAAACTTTAACTTAGTTATTTTAATATGATTTTCTTAGGAAGAATTATCATATTCTTATTATTTCAATTAGAAAGATAAATATTCGTCCTAAAGTAATTTAGGGATTAATTTCTCTTCAATTGGAAATATTGAAATATTTTATATTTTTCCTTAGAATTATGTGATTGAATATGAAATAACAGGATAATAAATTAAATTTATATTAGAATTCTTAAATTTTTACTAATAGAGACAATTTATAATTAAAGGGTACCAATTTTGGGCGTTATAGTGGTGTTAATCATTCCCTAAACGTAACCGACCACAAATATCTTTTTATTACTAAAAAAATGAATTTTTGGTTAAACGCAGACCTGTTTATCTTTTAACTGATGTTTTCTTAAAAACTCTTTTAAAATGTGATTTTAAGGTATTTGACCTACTTAACCCAAAAGGTCAATGGTGACTCCCAAAACATTTCATAAAAAACTATTTATTTATTCACTTGCTTTTTCCGCCAAAACAATTTGTGCCCGAACGAAAATCGGTTACAACAAATATTAAGTAAATATCCAACTAAAGGTATAATTTCAGAATTGGTTCAGATAATTGATCATAGATGCAATGATAAAATCTTCTATTTTTCACTAAATTGGTTATGGTTATTGACAAGCTCTAACAACCTGTCTCTCCTTAGTTTCTTGATAATCAAGAGAAGCTCTTTGATTATTTCCCTTTTTAATGAACAACCGTAGACAAGCGCTTAAGATTTAATCCACCAACATCATTAACCACTAGAGAGACCACCAATTCTAGCCAACAAATACACAAGCTCGATTCATTTAGACTAGATTATATACCTTCATAACATAATCAAAAATCAATTATGTTACTTTACCACCAATATTAGAACGTTTAAACAATTACGGATTTAAAGTTCTAATTGGCAATTTATCAACCCGATAATTGAACAACGGGCCCTTTGCAACAATCAATCAAGACAATAACTCTTAATAAAAACAGAAGATATATAAATATCGAAGAAGTAAAAGAACAATGAAAATTATTTAGATCTCACAATCCTTGAAGAACCAAAACTTCAATTATCCTTCAGTTGGAACAAAAGTATTTAACTACTCATAATTGAAAGAACACCAAAAGAAAATAAAGATGAAGTATGTAAATAATCCTAAAGAAAAACTTTTACTTAAAGAAAACTTAAAAACTATGAAAACCCTAGCTCCCCTTTTATAAGGATTGCCCTATTTTAGATAAGGAAGTTTTTCAAAAGTGAATCCCTACCAAAATAGGGATTTTGAATACCTTCATCCTTCTCTAAAGATAAGAATGATTCAATAGAGTCTTTCAACCGTCATTAAACTCCTTTTCCCTTGTAAATTTGTAGCCCTAATTTAGGGTTGTACGGACTGGTAAGATGTGCCCACGCCTTAACTGTAGACTTATTCTGCATTAGCTCAGGATGAATAAGTCGTGCCCACGCCTTATGCGAAAACCTCTTCTGGTCTTGCCAACTTCTTGAATTCTGATTTTTCCTCCGTAATTTGGGGATTTCGTGAAGATCATGTTATTCTTTGGATTTTGAACTTGTTTAATCCAAATCTTCAACCTAATCCACAAAATACGAAATATAATCAAAATCCATTATTTAAGCAATTTTAGTTATTCAAATATGAGGAAAATATCATAGAATATATGGCTAATATGCATTTTATCATCTCGCTTGAGACATTTTCTCTTGAAAAAAAAGTTTTGTCTATCTTGAGACAGTTTCTCTTGAAACATATTATCCCTAAAGACGACTAGACGTCCTCATCACATAGAAACAATGTCGTCCACCGACCAGATCTCCTCATAACGTAGGAGCAACGACATCCTCAGATAACCAGACTTCCTCATCACATAGGAACAATGTCGTCCACCGACCAGATCTCCTCATCACGTAGGAGCAACGACATCCTCAGATAACCAGACTTCCTCATCACGTAGTGTTGTCTCCAATTTATCCCTAAAGATAGCTAGACATCCTCATCACGTAGGAATAATGTCATCCACCGACCATATCTTCTCAACACGTAGGAGCAGCATCATCCTCAGATAAGTAGACTTCCTCATCATGTAGGAACTGTGTTGTCTTCAATTTATCCCTAAAGACGGCTAGACGTCCTCATCATGTAGGAGAAATGCCATCCACAGACCAGATCTCCTTAACACGTAGGAACAGTGTCATCCTCATATAACCAGACCTCATCATCACGTAGGAACCGTGTTATCTTTGATTTATCCCTAAATACGGCTAGACGTCCTCATCATGTAGGAACAATGTCATCCACCGACCACATCTCCTCAACACGTAGGAGCAGTGTCATCCTCATATAACCAGACCTCATCATCACGTAGGAACCGTGTTATCTTTGATTTATCCCTAAATACGTCTAGACGTCCTCATCACGTAGGAACAATGTCATCCACCAACCATATCTCCTCAACACATAGGAGCAATGTCATCCTCAGATAATCAAACTTCCTCATCATGTAGAAACTGTGTTGTCTCCAATTTATCCCTAAAGACGGCTATACATCCTCGTCACGTAGGAACAATGTCGTCCACCGACCAGATCTCCTCAACACGTAGGAGTAGCATCATCCTCAGATAACTAGACTTCCTCATCACGTAGGAACCGTGTTGTCCCCAAATTATATCAGAAAATGTTTGACCAGACTTCCTCAATAAGAAAGAACAACATCATATGAAAGCGGCCAGAACTTTTCAACATTTATAAGCAATGTCGTCTTCAACACCAAATTATCTCCAGATTGACCCGACGACCTCAACATGAAGGAACAATGTCATTTTTTTAAATCCTCTATTTTCATACAAAGAATTGGAGCTCCAAATGCGAATCAAACATTGTAGCTAGACAAAATTAGGTCATTATTTATCTTTGCCTCGTCGTTATTTACACAACAAACGAGCAACTCCATCCCGTTCCTCTTAAACTTGCTTAGTCCTGTGTTATAACTTAGAATTAGTTTATCTGCATTCACAGGTTAAGTTTTTATTTTGAGTTGATTATCATATTGAAATTGGTCTTCTCTTCCTTGTCTTGAAGAGTCATTGTGCTTCCTTTGATAGAGAATTTCTTAAAGAGGTGGATACTTCGATTTTGTTTTATAGTTTATAGTTATTTTGAATCATACATCATAAAAGAAATGACTTCATTTATTTTTATTTATTTATGTTTTTTCTCATAAGAGAGCCAATTTATATATTAACAACTCTGTTTGATCTATTTTGGTGGATTTTCTTTTTAGAGTATTGGTTGCTTTTTCTTTTTATCACATGATGCAACACCAATGGTTATAAGGGCAAAGTTAGTGAAAGCTCTTTCAACGACTCATTAATTACAGATTCTTATCCAAATTTGGTGCTATTATTATCATGAATGTGGGAGTAACTAAAGGCAAGAAATAAGTGGTGATGCTGCAGACATCATAAGAAATTTTCTTCCTTGACCAATAGCATACACATTAACACTATAAATTGCTTACATACGAACTTCTAGTAAGAATTAAAATAACAATAGCTGTCGTTTGCGACAGCAATGGCTCACTAATTACAGATTCTAGTCCAAATTCTCTGCAAGTATGAATGAGTTGGTAACTAACGGCAAGAAATTAGTGTTACTGCTGCAAACATCAGAAGTTTTCTTCCCCCACAATTGGTATAACCAGTCACAC